CCCCAAAACCCCAAAACCCCAAAACCCCAAAACCCCAAAACCCCATACTTCTTGATGCTTATTGAAAATAGTTAATTAATATGGAATCCGCTGGAGTTCTTCCTTCTCTAGGTGGAGCTGTACAAAGCAATGCTAACTTATTAGAAGAGTCCAAAGAAATTAGAGTCCTACCAAAGAGTGGTACTTGCAAATTTGACCATTCTCACACTAGTGTAGAAACAGAGATGATTATGATCAATGATCCTAAAGAAATTGAAAATATTCGAGTAGATTTTCGTACAACAGCTGTTGACGAATCATCATACAGAGATGTTCAGTATAAGAAGAGGATGCAGGCTTTGCAAGCTCAGTTTAAGGGTAAATCTTCTACTATTTTTAAAACTCTCTCTATTCTTTACGGCCAATCGTTATTTTAATTTTACACAAATTGGTTCGGAGAAAATTATAAATTGCTAAATTACTATTTAACAATCACAGTTGGAGGTCTGACACAACTTTAGGAACTGTGCCTGGCAAAGGATTGATGTCTAATAATGTTAACAAATGATACAACAGCTACATGTGAAGTAATTACATAAGCTTCATTCTGGCTTACTTAGGGATTGCATTATGAGTTATGGAGAATGAATTTTATATAAAGGAACCAAATGATAAGGAGGATCGGTATGCTCTGCTTACAATAAACTTTGTCATCAACTTTCTTCTGGCTATAAACATCACTTTTGGGTTTAAGCTATGGGTTCAATTCACTAATCTGCTCCATCCAATCCTTCAGTTAGGTATCTCAGAGAGCCAAGAGGAGTTTCAACAGAAGAATCTTAAGATGAGACTTCTTGAGAGGCCAATTTTCTTGTGCTACATCTCAGAAATAATTCTGTGCTTTGTTACTCCTTACCAATGGATCTATGAAGAAGAGTATAGTTACACCTCTGAAGATCAAGAAGTGCGATTTTATATCAACACGCTTTTATTAGCATTAATGATCATATTCAGGACTTATCACCTGATTAGAGCTTTACTGCAGTTCAGTATTTTCATGACAGCAAGATCTGAAAGGATGACGAGAATATTTTCTCCAGATAGTAAGCAAGATGGCTAAATATTATAGGTAATTTAGTACAAAGTCAGTTGCATCCCTACATATTTGCATTCAGGTGAGAATTCAAATACAATTCTTTCAGAGTCATTGTTATTTGATTGACATACATAACTCTGATGTTTGGAATGATGTTCAGGCTAGTAGAAGAGCCTTACTCGATGCAAGTCTCTCAGCCAACTTTTTCGTACCAGAACTCGTTCTGGGTCTGATTCATCACAATGTCAACAGTTGGATACGGAGAGTTTTACCCAGTGTCTGTTCCTGGGAAATTAGTATCTACCTTTTGTGCTTTCATGGGTGTCTTCCTCCAGGCATCCTCCGTTATTGCAATGTTAAATCTCTTGGAAATGACTACTTCTGAGATCTTCAGTTATAAGCTTCTCAAAATTTTGGAGATGAAGGAAAAGGTCCTGCACAAGGCAACAAGGATGCTACAAACTGGTTTTAGGAAAAAATAAGAATAAAAGCACCAAGAAGAAGGAAAGAAAGCTTGATATAAGGTAACAGCTTGAGTTTAATTACTCTAGATGGCGCAAGAAGTGTAGAGAATTCAAGATGACCACCCGGTAAGCACTTCCCATGGATTTAGCTCATATTCTATTCTAATTATTGTTGTAATTCTAAAGCCTATTTTAGAAGTTTATGGGCGGCTAGATGAGAGAATGTATCCAAGATGGATCAATCATCGTTTGATCTTGCTTATTACAGGAGTCAGCTGTTTAAATCAGTTGTCCTAAGCAAATAAACTAAAGGAATTTGTACTTGCATCTAACAAGAAAATGGAAAAACAACCAAAACCAATTATAAAAGTCAGAACTCATAGATCCAAGAAGAGAGTTTGTTTGGTTGTTGATAAAGAAGCAGATAATCCAATGTTTCTCACTAAAGATGAAAGAAGGCCTCCTCCACTTGAGAGAGAAGAGAGTGAGTCTATCTCTCTCGAGCACCAAAAAACTGCATCCATGTCTCAAATAAAAGAGGATAGGGCACCTTTTATTCCTGAAATCAAGGAGAGAAAGCCTATTTTCCTTAAAAGGCAGTGAAGAAAGTCTTTCGAACCGAAACCAATAGACTTAGAGCCGATTTCTCTTACTGATATCAAATGAGAGTTCTTCTGGCAAAAAAAGTGGGCTAAAATGCAGGAGGACTTCACACTCATGGACGAGGAAAAGACCTCTAACCGTCATAATAGCTCCAAAGGGAGGAAAGTTAATTTAACTGAACCATAACTATTCGAAAAATTCAATTTTGGAAATCATCTGGGGTTTTGGGGTTTTGGGGTTTTGGGGTTTTGGGG